AAAAGCTTCTAGGACAAACAAAAACTAAAGGAATTTGCAAACACAAAACCAGCCCTACAAGAAATATTGAAAGGGGTCCTCTAAGCAAAGAGAGCACCTAAAAGCAACATAGACCAGAAAGGAACGAAGACAATATACAGTAACAATCACCTTACAGGCAATACAATGGCACATCGTTATCTTTCAATAGTTACCCTGAATGTAAATGGGCTAAATGCCCCAATCAAAAGACACAGGGTATCAGATTGGATTAAAAAACAAGACCCATCGATATACTGTCTGCAAGAGACTCATTTTAGACCCAAAGACACCCCCAGATTGAAAGTGAGGGGATGGAAAACCATTTACCATGCTAATGGACACCAGAAGAAAGCTGGGGTGGCAATCCTTATATCAGACAAATTAGATTTTAAACCAAAGACTGTAATAAGAGATGAGGAAGGACACTATATCCTACTTAAAGGGTCTATCCAACGAAAAGATCTAACAATTGCAAATATCTATGCCCCTAACATGGGAGCAGCCAGAAACACATCGACAATACAATAATAGTGGGGGACTTTAACACCCCCCTCACTGAATTGGACAGATCATCTAAGCAAAAGATCAACAAGGAAATAAAGACTTTAAATGACACACTAGACCAAATGGACTTCACAGATATATTCAGAACATTGCACCCCAAAGCAAGAGAATACACATTCTTCTCTAGTGCCCATGGAACATTCTCCAGAATAGATCACATCCTAGGTCACAAATCAGGTCTCAACCGGTACCAAAAGATTGGGATCATTCCCTGCATATTTTCAGACCACAATGCTTTGAAACTAGAACTCAATCATAAGAGGAAAGCCAGAAAGAACTCAAATACATGGAGGCTAAAGAGCATCCTACTGAAGAATGAATGGGCCAACCAGGAAATTAAAGAAGAATTAAAAAAATTCATGGAAACAAATGAAAATGAAAACACAACTATTGAAAATCTTTGGGATACAGCAAAGGCAGTCCTAAGAGGAAAGTATATAGTTTTCTGAGTACAGATTCTTTGCCTCTTTGGTTAGATTTATTCCTAGGTATCTTATGGTTTTGGGTGCAATTGTAAATGGGATCAACTCCTTAATTTCTCTTTCTCAAGAAACAAGAAAGGTCTCAAATACACAACCTAACCCTACACCTAAAGGAGCTGGAGAAAGAACAGCAAATAAAGCCTAAACGCAGCAGAAGAGAAATAATCAAGATCAGAGCAGAAATCAATGAAACAGAAACCAAAAGAACAGTAGAACAGATCAACGAAAGTAGGAGCTGGTTCTTTGAAAGAATTAACAAGATTGATAAACGCCTGGCCAGACTTATCAAAAAGAAAAGAGAAATGACCCAAATCAACAAAATCATGAATGAAAGAGGAGAGATCACAACCAACAACAAAGAAATACAAACAATTACAAGAACATACTATGAGCAACTATGTGCCAGCAAATTAGATAACCTGGAAGAAATAGATGCATTCCTAGAGATGTATCAACTACCAAAACTGAACCAGGAAGGAATAGAAAACCTGAACAGACCTATAACCACTAAGGAAATGGAAGCAGTCATCAAAAATCTCCCAACAAACAAAAGCCCAGGGCCAGATGGCTTCCCAGGAGAATTCTACCAAACATTTAAAGAAAAATTAATACCTATTCTTCTGAAACTGTTCCAAAAAATAGAAACGGAAGGAAAACTTCCAAACTTGTTTTATGAGGCCACCATTACCTTGATCCCCAAACCAGACAAAGACCCCATCAAAAAGGATTACAGACCAATATCCTTGATGAACCTGGATGCAAAAATTCTCACCAAAATACTAGCCAATAGGATCCAACAGTACATTAAAAGGATTATTCACCACGACCAAGTGGGATTTATCTGTGGGATGCACGGTTGGTTCAACATCCGCAAATCAATCAATGTGATACAATACATTAATAAAAGAAGGAACAAGAATCATATGATCCTCTCAATAGATGCAGAAAAAGCATTTGACAAAGTACAGCATCCTTTCTTGATCAAAACTCTTCAGAGTTTAGGGACATACCTCAATATCATAAAAGCCATCTATGAAAAACGCACAGCGAATATCATTCTCAATGGGGAAAAACTGAGAGCTTTCCCCCTAAGGTCAGGAACATGGCAGGGATGTCCACTCTCACCACTGCTATTCAACATAGTATTAGAAGTCCTAGCCACAGCAATCAGACAACAAAAAGAAATCAGAGGCATCCAAATCGGCATAGAAGTCAAACTCTCAATCTTTGCAGATGATATGATACTTTACGTGGAAAACCCAAAAGACTCCACACCAAAACTGCTAGGACTCATACAGGAATTCAGTAAAGTGGCAGGATATAAAATTAATGCACAGAAACCAGTGGCATTCCTATACACCAACAACAAGACAGAAGAAAGAGAAATTAAGGAGTCTATCCCATTTACAATTGCACCCAAAACCATAAGATACCTAGGAATAAATCTAACCAAAGAGGCAAAGGATCTGTACTCAGAAAACTATAAAATACTCATGAAAGAAATTGAGGAAGACACAAAGAAATGGAAAAACGTTCCATGCTCATGGATTGGAAGAACATGGTGAAGATGTCAATGCTACCTAGAGCAATCTACACATTCAATGCAATCCCCATCAAACTACCATCCACTTTTTTCAAAGAAATGGAACAAATAATCCTAAAATTTGTATGGAACCAGAAGAGACCCCGAATAGCCAGAGGAATGTTGAAAAAGAAAAGCAAAGCTGGCGGCATCACAATTCCGGACTTCCAGCTCTATTACAAAGCTGTCATCACCAAGACAGTATGGTACTGGCACAAAAACAGACACATAGATCAATGGAACAGAATAGAGAGCCCAGAAATGGACCCTCAACTCTATGGTCTACTCATCTTTGACAAAGCAGGAAAGAATGTCCAATGGAAAAAAGACAGTCTCTTCAACAAATGGTGTTGGGAAAATTGGACAGCCACCTGCAGAAGAATGAAACTGGACCATTTCCTTACACCACACACAAAAATAGACTCCAAATGGTTGAAAGACCTAAATGTGAGACAGGAGTCCATCAAAATCCTAAAGGAGAACACAGGCAGCAACCTCTTTGACCTCAGCCACAGCAACTTCTTCCTAGAAACATCGCCCAAGTCAAGGGAAGCAAGGGCAAAAATGAACTATTGGGACTTCATCAAGATAAAAAGCTTTTGCACAGCAAAAGAAACAGTCAACAAAACCAAAAGATAACCAACAGAATGGGAGAAGATATTTGCAAATGACATATCAGATAAAGGGCTAGTATCCAAAAAAAATTTTTTCTTAAAAGATTTTATTTATTTGACAGAGAGAGACACAGCGAGAGAGGGAACACAAGCAGGGGGAGTGGGAGAGGGAGAAGCAGGCTTCCCGCTGAGCAGGGAGCCCGATGTGGGGCTCGATCCCAGGACGCTGGGATCATGACCTGAGCTGAAGGCAGACGTTCAATGACTGAGCCACCCAGGTGCCCCAAGTATCCAAAATCTATAAAGAACTTCTTATACTCAACACCCAAAGAACAAATGATCCAATCAAGAAATGGACAGAAGACATGAACAGACATTTTTCCAAAGAAGACATCCAAATGGCCAACAGACACATGAAAAAGTGCTCAACATCGCTCGGCATCAGGGAAATCTAAATCAAAACCTCAATGAGATATCACCTCACACCCGTCAGAATGGCTAAAATTAGTAAGTCAGGAAACGACAGATGTTGGCGGGGATGCGGAGAAAGGGGAACCCTCCTACACTGTTGGTGGGAATGCAAGCTGGTGCAGCCACTCTGGAAAACAGTATGGAGGTTCCTCAAACAGTTGAAAATAGAGCTACCATACGATCCAGCAATTGCACTACTGGGTATTTACCCCAAAGATACAAATGTAGGGATCCGAAGGGGTACGTGCACCCCGGTGTTTATAGCAGCAATGTCCACAATAGCCAAACTGTGGAAAGAGCCAAGATGTCCATCGACAGATGAATGGATAAAGAAGATGTGGTATATATACACAATGGAATATTATGCAGCCATCAAAAGGAATGAGATCTTGCCATTTGCAATGACGTGGATGGAACTGGAGGGTGTTATGCTGAGTGAAATAAGTCAATCAGAGAAAGACATGTATCATATGACCTTGCTGATATGAGGAATTTTTAACCTCAGGAAACAAACTGAGGGTTGCTGGGGTGGTGGGGGGTGGGAGGGATGGGGTGGCTGGGTGATAGACATTGGGTAGGGTATGTGCTGTGGTGAGCACTGTGAATTGTGCAAGACTGTTGAATCACAGATCTGTACTTCTGAAACAAATAATGTAAGATATGTTAAGAAAAAAAAAAGAAGAAGATAGGAGGGGAAGAATGAAGGGGAGTAAGTCGGAGGGGGAGACAAACCATGAGAGACGACGGACTCTGAAAACCAAACTGAGGGTTCTAGAGGGGAGGGGGTGGGGGGATGGGTTAGCCTGGTGATGGGTATTAAAGAGGGCACGTTCTGCGTGGAGCACCGGGTGTTATGCACAATGAATCATGGAACGCTACATCAAAAACTAACAATGTAATGTATGGTGATCAACATAACAATAAAAAAAGAAAAAAAAAGGATGAGATGAGGATGAAGTAGGATCTCTGGATAATGACTGTATTTCAAAATCTCTGGAAGGCAAAGGCAGGATGACAGCTGACCCTTGTTCATTTGTTACTTCTGTTAATACCCCTCTGAGAGGATCCAATCACTGCAGGTACGTATCCCTGCTATTCCTTTTTCATACACCAATGCTCCTCCAGGACACTCTCCAAATCCTTCCAGATTTGCAGTGGGTGTGACAGAAAGGAAAACCATTCCAATCTTTTATTCCCCACTGCAAGTTCCACTTTGTAAACTGATTAAACAAACAGGATAAAGAGACAAGAAAACCACATACTTACTTTTCATTAATTTTCCTGATAATTCCTTTAGTGGTGAAGAGGGACTATTTCTACTGGCTACTAGAAGTCTGGAGGAGGAGTCTTGGGTTTCCATGGAAACTTGATGTGTTCCTGTTCTGGCCATTTCAAGATGGAGAGAATGGGCATGGTCACATTCCCGGGAAAGCAGCAAGTGATTCTGAACGTTGCTAGTTCTATTGTTCAGGTCAATTCCTTCGGATTGGGTCATAAGCAATTGGGCTGGGCTAGAATCCTCCAATCTCTTGTCAAGAGACTCAGTTACAAAAGATGTTGCAGTTTCATGCTTTATAGATGGAGAGACAGGCTCAGCCAATGAGCTCTGCTTCACGGTGTTCAGACTGTGTGCTCTTATTCGGGACCAAGTTGTAGAGTGAAAACTTTCAGCTTCTAACCAAAATTTAACCAAATGCTCCATTCTCCGAAGTTCCATGAATTGAATGAAATAAGGGAGGACAACAGTGTCGCGCAAGACTTGTTCAAGGGTCTTTGAAAGACTTGATTTGGTCTCTTGAGTCTGGTAGTCCAGACAAGATCGGCCTGAAAGAAGCAAAGATTAGCAGTTCAGTAACAATTTAAGATTAACGGATTTGTCAGCCACCTTTAGCATCAGTGGTACCAGAATTCTTGAATAAAGTTTACTTCCCTAGCAATTTAAATGAATAAAGAGCTAGAAATACTATCATTGTGGCTTCTAAACAGGCAAAGAAACAAGTCTCCAAAACTTAATCAATCTATTAAAAAGCTCTAGCTCAATTATTTTTACCTAACTTTTAATGGCAGCTCAGACCATGTAAATTCTTGAGAAAAAAATCTTACGATACGAGTCCCAAAGAAAGAAGGCCAATAAAAATATGAAAATAGATTCAATCTAATTAAAAATGCAGAAAAGCAAATTAATACAAGATAACATTTTAGTCAAACTGGAAGATGTTTTTCCAAAAAATAACAAAAACAAAGGCACAACAGAACAGGAAACACTGGCACCCACTGATGATGAAAATGGCAAAACCTCTTTGGAGGAGCTTTCATAACAGCAAAGCTCTAATAATCTGCATGATCTGCAATCCAGTAACTCCACCTCCAGGAACTTTTCCTGAGCAAAATGGTCCATGTGTGGATACAGCCAGAAAGATGTTACCAGCTCTCAGCATTTGTTACAACAGAATAAAGAGTAGCTCTGGGATTTTATCTTGAAAAATAAAACGAAACTTACCAAAACTTAATAAAAATAAGTTCATTTTATATGTAACTAAATTTAGGTTACGATTATAACCACAGTTATTTTTTTTGTTTATATTTATGGCATTTACATATTGAAGTTCATCTTCATAAAATTAACAGGGTTTCATCAATTTTTCAAAAGGGCTTTTCTTAATCCTTTGATATTCAAATCATTTTCTTTTGAAGCATTTCATGTGTCATCCTTGCTGGCTGTCTCATTTTCTTTTTCTTTTTTTGAGAGAGAGGGCACACTTGAGCAAGCACTGCCCAACACGGGGCTCCATCTCATGACCCTGAGATCATGACCTGAGCCGAAATCAAGAGTGGGGCGCTTAACCGACTGTGCCACCCAGGCACCCCCTGGCGGTCTCATTTTCAATGTTAACCAGTGCATCTTTGTCAACATCACTTCCTCGAACTTCAGGAAATCCTGATCCTTTGCAAGATTCACAATTTTTTAAATTAAATTTTTAATTTTGAGATAACGGTAAATTCAGATACACTTGTAAGACAATATAGAGAGATCCTATGTACCCTTTACCCAGCTTCCCCATGGTGTATCTTACAATACTATAGTACAGTATCACATCAAGGTACCGACATTCACAATCTTACAAGGTATGACCCACCAATCTTACTCAGATTTCCCCATTTACCTGTACTCACCTGTAGACTTCATTTTATGCAATGGAATCTATGCAATTTTATCATATGTAACCGCCAAGATACTGAACAGTTCCAATGCCACGTGGATCCCTCACGTGGCCTTTCATAACTAACTCCTCCGTTCCTAACCTCTGGCAAACCGGTCTTCATTTCTCTAATTTTGTCATTTCAAGAATATTATACAAATGGAATCATACTGCATATAACCTTTTGGGATTGGCTTTTAACGCACAGCATAATTCCCTTGGGATTCATGCAAGTTGTTAGGTATATCAATAGTCTGCTCTTTTTTATTGCTGACTGGTATTCTCTGGCATGCATGTACCAGTTTGTTTAACCATTTACTTGCCTGCTGAAAGACAGTTTTTTACTTTTAAGCTGCTATGGAGATTGGAGTATAGGTTTTTGCGTGAATATAAGTTTCCATTTCTCTGGGATAAAGGCCGAAGAGTGCAATTGCAGGGTCATATGACAACTGCATGTTTAGTTCTATAAGAAACTGCCAAACTGTTTTCCAGAGTGGCTGTACCGTTTCACATTCCCACCAGCAACAAAGGAGTAATCCAGTAAAACTTACGATTTTACTTTGGGATCAACAAATGCTGTTTGCAATGTACTGTTGAGCGTGACCCATAAACACTTTGACACCTCTGAATATACACAAATGTTAAGCAAATATGTCAAAAGAGGAACTAATTTTATTAGACATCAATTTATTCACTTTTTTTTTCAATTTATGATACCACGACATGCAATTTTTATAAGTTCAGAACTTTGGGTAATTAAAATTAATTAATAGATATTTGCATGCTGTTCCTTATTTTTTTGCTTTCACAAACAATACTGCAATAAATAGCTTTCTACATACTTGTATATACATCTTTTTGCATATATGTGAATACAACTGAGGGCTAAATCTTCTATTTTATATTTTGATAAATGTTTCCAAACTGCCTTCCAAAAAATCTTCATCAGTTTACACTTCCACTAAATAGGAATGGCCGTTACTCTTCATCTCCATTACCATTCAAGTGATCAAACTTTAGTATTTGCTGATGTGTTGGGGGAACATTATCTCATTACTAAAATTTGCATTTCCCTGAGTATGAGTGAAATGAGGCATCTTTTTCATATAATTAGTGGCCAAATGTATTTCTTCTCCTGGACATGGCCCATTTTTTTTTAAATTGAGAATGCTTTATATTTTACGCTTATGGGGACACAATAGAGTGTCATACTTATAGCTGTTATTTTATTTACTTTTTTAAGTAGGCTCCATGCCCCATGTGGGGATCGAACTCACAACCCTCAGATCAAGAGTCACATGCTCTACTGACTGAGCCAGCCAGCCAGGCCCCCCTATAGCTGTTATTTTAAATACGTTTTTTCAAAGCCCATTCCCATTATACAGTTCTAGTATCCTCTAGCAAGAGTTTCACATAATACAATCAAATCCTTCTTCCTGCTGGACGTGAACAAAAAGTGAGTCACTTACCCAGGTCACCAAAATGAGCAGCCTCCATGTGGCTTGGCTGCTTCTTAAGTGTCGCTGTCCTGCTACTTGAAAAGGAGTCCATGTTGGCAGAAATGGCATTGATTGCAACATGACTTGGTCCTGCCGCCTCCAGCAAGGCATGATTTTTAGTGCTTTTTTGTGGGGAATGTTCAGATATTGAAGCTATAATTTTTCAAAAAAAAAAAAAAGTTTAAAAATTTAGCACAATTTGATAGCCTAAAAATGTCTCATAAAGGGCTTTAAGAGAACTTTAAAAATTAAATTTTGTAAACACCTCTCTTAAGTATGCACACTCAACAAAAAATACTTAGGGGAAAGGCAATCAAGCATCAGAAAATTGGAAAGAAATGTCCCATTATTATTTATAACTCTCAAAATACTGTGCCAAAAATGGAACTTAAAACAGATGTTTCTTTGAGAACTTCTACTGATGACAGAAAGTACCAAAGCCAGAAAACATTCTAATATATGGACCTTTTCTGTTTTTTTAATTTTTTTTAATTTTTTAAGATTTTATTTATTCATTTGACAGACAGAGAGACTGCGAGAGAGGGAACACAAGCAGGGGGAGTGGGAGAGGGAGAAGCACGCTTCCTGCCAAGCAGGAGCCCGACGTGGGGCTCAATCCCAGGATCCTGGGATCATGACCTGAGCTGAAGGCAGATGCTTAACAACTGAGCCACCCAGGCGCCCCTATGGACCCTTTTCAATTCCTTAATCCTTTTTTGTCCAAGGAAGAAAACTAAACTTGTGGAATGGGGTAAAAATGAGAAAAATACCTTCAGCATACTTATTTTACTTCTTTTTTTAAGATTTTATTTATCTGTCAGAGAGTGAGAGAGCTCACAAGCAGGGGGGGAGCAGCAGGCAGAGAGAGAAGCAGGCTCCCCGCTGAGCAAGGAGGCCAATGAGGGACTCAGTCCCAGGGCCCTGGGATCATGACCTGAGCCGAAGCCAGACGCTTAACCAACTGAACCACCCAGGAGTTCCCTTATTTTACTTTTTAATTGGGTAACAAAATTTCTCTAATGAAAAACTTTTATGATCAAAGTTCAAGCTGCTTAAAGATAAAGCACACTTAAAAAATTCACAAAATACATTTTCTTTAGTAGTCTGAAGAAATACCCTATTGACATCAGAATAAAGAGGTTACCCATTAACATGTTAATAGGATATAAGCAACTCGGTATCACAATATTGTCAAAGTAGTCCTGTGACCTTGTTGCTACAGCTGGATCAACATTCCACCTCTCCTATTTATTCCACACAAATATTAATGACTCTTATTAAAGGTTTTTAAGAAGTGTCGGCCTAGTACAATGCTATAGCAATGTGGCTATATTGCTAAATATAAAATTTATATTTTACGCTTATGGGGGTGGCTGGGTGGCTCAGCCGGTTAAGTGTCTGTCTTCAGCTCAGGTCGTGATCCCAGGATCCTGGGATCGAGTCCTGCATCAGGGCAGGGAGCCTGCTTCTCCCTCTGCACCTCCCCCTGCTTGTGCACTCTCTCTCTCTGACAAATAAATAAATAAAATCTTAAAAAAAAAAAAAACAGAAATGATACAGGTCAGCCTCAAGATAAATACTCTCAGAGAACCAAACTTGAAGCTACTAGCACCATTTTTGTATTACATTGTCAACACATAAATGCTCTCATCTCAGCAAACAGTTCCCAAACAGAATCTGAGTAATACCAGGCAATATTTCTTATGAAGAAGTATTAGACTAATGTAATTCAGTCTATTACTCTTTGAGATGCTTTTATAAATATAAAGCGGGTAAGAACGTGAATGTCCGTACCTGTCTGCCAGGTTATCTATATTTACTAGTCATTCAATGAGAGGTGGGAGAATGATGCTATTGAGTTGTCTTCAAGAGATTTTTAATTTTATTTATTTATTTTAAAGATTTTATTTATTTATTAGGGAGAGAGAAAGAAAGCACAAGCATGGGGAGTGGCAGACAGAGGGAGAAGCAGGCTCCCCGCTGAGCAGGGAGCCCGACGTGGGACTTGATTCCGGGACCCTGGGATCATGACCTGAGCCGAAGGCAGACGCTCAACCACTGAGCCACCCAGGTGTCCCGAAATTTTTAATTTTAGAAGAAAGTCTTTGTTTTAAATTTTCATGATAAACTGAAGAAAGCAAAATCAGTTCAGCAAGTTTATAAACAGTAATAGCTAGTTTTTTTCTATAGACAACAAGCTACAAATATCATTCTATAAGAATGATAAGACTTTCTAATCGTTTCCTAATTAGGTATGTATGATGATACAAGATGCCATTAATTTATTTGTGCAAGGCTTTTTTTGCCTCCTCTTTCTGAACTTCTCTGTTAGAACTATTAACTTATTTTAGATGTTGCTTCCAGATAATCTATCTTCCTTTGGTCTCCATGGTACTACCTGCTCCTTAGTTTTCTTTCCTATCTGAGCCTGTCTCTCAAGCCCTTAGGACACAGTGATTAAATGCCCACTAGGGGCGCCTGGGTGGTTCAGTCCGTTAAGTGTCTGCCTTCGGCTCAGGTTATGATCCCAGAGTCCTGGGATCGAGTCCCACATCGGGCTCCCTGCTCAGTGGGGAGCCTGCTTCTCCCTCTGCCTGCCAGTCCCCCTGCTTGTGCGCTCTCTGACAAATAAATAAATAAAATCTTAAAAAGAAATTAAAAAAAAAAAAGGCCCACTATGTCAGATATGGTCTCTTTCCATGACTCCTCTTCCTGAGGTTCTCTGTTCTTTTATTCTTTGTGCTAGAAACATTTATTCTCAAACCTTTAATTATTACTAGAGCCATCTTTTCCAAACATATTATTCAAACCGGTAAGCACTCCTCTTTTTCCCCCAAATAAACTTAAGTGAGACCCTAACATATCTGTAAAATAGATAAAACTCTAGAAAATATAGGTACCTAAATCTAAATAGATATCTAAAGGAGATTAAAAAAACGATTTAGTAACTCTGGCTGATTCAAGGGGAAAGTCTCACTCGCACTCTGGCCTGGACCTCTCGGCAACAGCTTGTAGGGTACACCTCTATGGTACTGGAACCCCAGTGGAGAAGCCCTGACCTGTATCTGAGACCTGTCCTTTGATCTGCGCTTGGGGCCTGTATTTCTAATTCCTTACTGCTAGCTATTCTCACTATGACTACCATATCAAGACCAACTTGTCCAAATATCAAACTTATCACGTTAATTCTCCTACTCAGTTTCCCCAGCCTGTGTTCAATCTGCCAGTCTCCAAAGCTCAAAATCTTGTACCCATTCTTTTTCAGTCTACATTTTTACCTGCCAAGATCGGTTAATTTTTCCTTAAAGATATTTAAACATCTACTTACCTGTTTATTACCAACACCACACCTTTAATACAGGCCTTTCTGTATTACAGCAAAAGAACTTCTAGGGTCTCCATTCTATAGAACTCTTCCAGACTAACCTTTCATAAATACCACATGTAAAGCATCAACATCCTGTTCAAAAGCCTACAGGCTCCCTATTTTCTCTGTCTCAACTCTCTGTTCTGGTCTCTAAGGCCCTTATAATTGGCTATCAATCTTCTGTAAAAATATCCCTTTACTTGTCTGAAGTACTTGTCCCTTTGCCCAATATATACTCAAATAAATAAGAAGCTGGGCTGGTAGGGAAAAGAGAAAGAACTGCCTCTTTCATTCAGATCCTTATTATTCAACTTTTATATAGATTAAGTCCCATTTCTACAAAATCTTCCCTACACTTCAGAAACCATTTGCTGATCTCAAATTCCTCTGAACTCCTCACAATACTTCATTTAACGAAGTCAACATATTGAGGGCCTCTTCTGGTACAACTAGAAAACAAGAGCTACCAAGGTAGTACCTCCTACATACCAGGCATTGTACTGGTTGCTTGATACACATTTTTTGTTGGTATGTTATTTCATTATCTCCCACAACAATTTTGCAAGACCAGTATTTTCCTCATTTTGGAGATGTGGATACAGACAGACAAAAGTTAAATACTTTGCTATAAGTCAATGAGCTGGTAAAGAGTCGTATCAACAGGCAGGATTTCAACTTTGGTCTGCCAGACTCTAGGAAATCACTCTTTTACCTTTGGTTGGAAACGCAGACCCTAGAATTATTGTGTGGGTAAAATAATATATGTAAATGTCTCCAAGTACCTCCCACCCAACATGCCAAAACTGAACATATAATTTCCCAACTTGGTTCTCCACCAGTCGCACTGTTAGGCAAGCCAGAAAAGTAGGTGTTAATCTGAAACTTCCCTGTCCCTTACACCTCATATTTAATCAATAACAAAGTTCTATCCATTTTAGCTCTAAATTGATCAATCCAGATCTCTTTATTTTCATCATTATAGATCTAGCCCATGCCATCTGTGGAATCACTTGATAAATGTTCCTCTCCCTTACCAATCTGTAAATTCAGTGAGTGCAGGATCAAGTCTTTTTTTGTTTAGCCGCAGTTCTGGGCTAATGCCTAAGATAGAACAGGTGTTCAAGAAATGGTTGTTACTAGTATCTTGGTATATTTGCTTTTATTCTGTGTCTAAGTTCTAATCAGACTGCAAACTTCTCGAGGGCCTGTTTCCTACATTTTTTCTGTATGATTCTAAGGTAAGCCAGTAATGCTAAGCACAGATTATGTACTGTCACAGGGTAGGAAAATGGAATTTTTTAGCCGGGTACAGATTTAGAAGTTAGGCCAATCCTCTCACTCCACAAATGAAGAATCTGAGGAAGGTTACATGACTTCCCAAGGTCATACTGTTAGTAGCAGAGTTTAGGGTAGAAATCTAAATGCCTGAGACATCAAATCTAAATGCCTGAGACATCAAATCCTTTCCTCTTACATTCAGATCTAGTCTTTACACATGCTGCTTGCTAAGGGCTTGAAGTCTTTATGAAAGCCAATCAAATTTTGCTTAAGGAAGGCAGTATGAACCAACATGGAATCCAACTGGCTTTAAATTATCAGAAGTAAGCAGAAAATAAGACTGTCAGGTACCCTAGTTCTTCCCTAATGTTACAAATCTCCTAAGTTATAATTAGTCTCTCCCCAGCAAACTGAGCATATATGGTTAATACTCAATGCTAGCCACACAAGATAACAAACATTTGAAAGAAAAAAAATCTAAGCAGCAATCTACAGATCTCAGGTAAATAAATTTTATTTATGAAATTTATATGTAATGGCTATATAATTAATTTCCATTATGATTTTCCATTCCAATCTTTGTAATTAACATAATGAAATCAGTCAAAACTATAGTAGAGATTACAACCTAAAGAAGCATGCTCCAACCTATAAAAAAGGACAATATACAGATTACAATAAGGTACTCTGAATATATTTTAAGTTAAGACCGTTCATCCAAAGTAACAGAGAAGTAAGAACTGTAATCATCCACATTTCTGGATAAACAACAGAAAACCAATCTTATAAGTGGCAGTTCTTTACTCCAGAACTGTCAGCTCATTTCAGAGTATTTTTCACTTTTTGTTTCGTTTTTAAAGATTTATTTATGGGGTACCTAGGTGGCTCAGTCAGTTAAGTGTCCACCTTCAGCTCAGGTCATGATCCAGGGTCCTGGGATCGAGCCCCACATCGGGCTCCTTCCTCGGCAGGGAGTCTGCTTCTCCCTCTCTCTGCCCCTCCCCCCCATTCATGCTCTCTCTCTAATAAAATACACTTAAAAAATAAAAAAGATGTATTTATTTATTTTAGAGAGAGAGAGTGTGCACAGTAGGGAGGGGCATAGGAAGAGAGAGTCTGAAGCAGACTCCGCACCAAGCGGAGAACCCAACACAAAGCCTGGCGCAGAACTTGATTTCACGACCCTGAGATCACGACCTGAGACAAAACCAAGAGTCAGACGCTCAACCCACCCAGGTGCCCCTCGCTTTTTGTTTTTTAAAATAAAGTCAACTACAAAGCGTAAGAGACTCTCAACTATAGGAAACAAACTAAGGGTTGCTGAAGGGGAGGAGAGTGGGGGGATGGAACTGGGTGATGGGCATTAAGGAGGGCACCTCATCTAATGAGCATTGCATGTTATATGCAACTGATGAATCACTAAACTCTACCTCTGAAACTAATAATACACTATATGTTAATTCGTTGATTTTAAGTTAAAAAAATAATGAAGTCAACTCATTGATTTTAAGGGAACAAACATGATTAATAGGAGGGCACTGGTTTACTGTATCACTAGAACAGCCAACAAGTGCTTAGTAAAAGCCTATTATATGCAAGGTGTTAAAGAATATACAGGTTGAACAAGGAAATACGTCACAATCATAAATAATTATAAAAGAAGGAAGAGATGATTAATGGCAAAAGAAGGGGGAAGATAACAGGATTAAGCAGCCTGTAAATGCAAAGCACATCACTTTTTAATATAATGGAATGCCACTGAACTCACCTTTAACTGACTTGACATCTGAGGTCTTCTCTTGTTCTTTGCCTTTCACTGGAAGATAAAAGAGCATCATGACCAACTTCTACAGTCAAAAAGATCCCATCTATATGATGTAAAAATTAGACAAGCTTTATTCTAACAGATGCATATTCAAAGTTGTACAACGGAATAACAGCCTTGGAGGGAGACAGGGCGAGACAGTTGTCAGCGGAAGTTTCGCTGAGGAAGTAACCTTTGACCATCATTCAGTCGAGAGCACTGAGTGTTCTTATGGGTAGACAATGTCAGAATACCTGGGTTCAGATTCTAGCTTGCCACTTATGACACAGCCGTGTGATCACAAACAAGTTACTTCTCTGGGTCTCAATTTCCTTGATTTATAAAATTAGAACAGTAATAACAACACCTACCTTAGAGGGTTAGGAGTGAAAAAACTAAAAAGTTGTAAAGGGCTTAGAAGAGCAACAGGCACACCGTTAGTTTAGGATGTTAACTAGTATTATTAAAATATGCCTATTGCTAGATGCATCTTGAAGAAAAAGAGTTCTTTGTGTATCATCTGACTTCTTGTGTATTCCTCTCACAACATCAAATACATTCTAAACTTATATTCTAAATAATATTCAAGGCTTAACCATTTCTCTCAAAAAGCAATACAGTCTCTTCTCTATTATACAGAACAGTAGAAATTCTACTGCAAATATGCTAATAATGTAATATCCAAGAAAGGAAGGTACATGGCAGCTTAAGCAAAGCGTGAACTCTTACAGAATCTGACATAAGACTATTTTTAACCTTCCTTACTTTTCTTGTATTTTTTTCAACATTAAATTTTCTTTAACCCTACCATGAAAAGCCTATCAAAATAAGAAATCCCAAAATGTGACCATCTCTCTACTCGTGCTCTTAAACATTCAACACTGAGAGGCTGGTAGCAGGAAATTACTAGCTCTCAGAGTATCTGATAAATTAATCCATCAACAAATATTTGAGTGCCTCGTATGTGCTAGACACTCTCCCGGCTCAGAAAAGAACAGTCCTGTCTTCAAGAAGTCTATATACAAGAATGTGGAGACAAACATGGACAAAAATAAGATCATTTCAGGTACTGGTCACTGCTGTTGGGAAGAAAAGAAAATAGGGAAATGTGGTAGAAGTAACTGGGTTGCAGCCCTCGCCGCAGCATCTGCCAACTGAATACATCTCCCATTTGAAACATGAACTTGTCTTGACTTCCAAGACACGCGACTCCCCTGGTTTTCTAGCTGCTCCTTCTCAGTTTTACTGCCTGGCTAACTTCTCCTCTACCTGCTGGGAGTTTCTCAGAGAAAGGGTTTTAAGCACCTTTGCTTTTCACTACGTACACATATGTATTTCCTGGCTGAACTTACCCATTCTGCAGGTTTTCAATACCGTGGATAAGCTATGAATCCTGAATTTCTATTTCTAGTCTAAATTCTTTTTGACCTTAAATTCATTTAGTTAACCATCTACCCATCCTCTTCTATAATTACACTGGTCCAAAAATGGAACATACCATCTCTTCCCAAACCTGGTTTACCTTACTTTTCATTCTCTCTCATGAATGACACTCCCACCCCAGTTTCTCAGGCCAAAAATCTCAGGAGTCATTCTTAACATGTCTCTCCCTTACTTCCCACACCCAAACCACTTCTAAGACCAATTGATTCTACCACTAAAACATACCCCCACAGTTCTACTTTGTCACTCTCAATACATTCTCATCAATCAGATCTAGTCAATATTTCAAACAGAAAAGTAACACACAATCCAACTTCACTACATATTAGTGTTTTGCCTTACTTCCCTTTTCCCCCTAAATATTATATAAAGGGTCCTATGACTCACTACCTGATCCCATTGCTCTTCTACCCTTCCCAGAGATAAATATTGCCCTAAATTGGATGTGTTTACTATCAAACAAACCATGTATGTTTTTAGACTATTACTACATGAATGTAAAACATGCAATTATTCTGTACATTTTTAAAATTGACATGAATAGTACTCTTCTACACATATCTGAAACTTGTATTCATCCCATAATTTGACTTGTCTATATTGATGCATTCATGTAGCTCTAATTCATTCATTTTAGCTGTTTAATTCCTAAAGTACACCTTTATTTATTCATTCTCCTTTTAATGAACATTTCGGTTTCCTAGTTTTTACTATCACAGACAATGATGTGATCAACAGGGGCGCCTGGGTGGCTCAGTTGTTAAGCTTCTGCCTTCAGCTCAGGTCATGATCCCAGGGTCCTGGGATCGAGCCTGCTTCTCAGTCTCCCACTCCCCCTGCTTGTGTTCCCTCTCTTGCTGTGTCTCTGTCAAATAAATAAAATCTTAAAAAAAAAAAATGGGATCAACATTCTAGTACACGTCTTCCTATGCAGTCTACATGTAAGAATCTCTCTAGGAGGGGCGCCTGGGTGACTCAGATGGTTGAGCGCCTGCCTTCGGCTCAGGTCATGACTGGCGTCGGGCTCCCAGCTCAGCCAGGAGTCTGCTTCTCCTTCTCCCTCTGCCCCTCTCCCTGCTTGTGCTCTTTCTCTCTCTCAAATGAATAAATAAATCTTAAAAAAAAAAATTTCTCTAGGCTAGAACACTATAAATGCAACTGATAGGTAACCAATGATGGGCATTTTTAATGAAAGTGGCTATTTAATGAATATTTTTCAAACGGTATTTGATGGTATTTTTCATTCATTTCCTTGATTTCCTTTGAGGGGCTATCCTTTTGTATTTATTGGGTATTTAGGTATCTTCTTTTATGGGCTGGCTATTCAATTCCTTTGTCCTTTACTTATTTGTAGAAATTCCATACATAGTCTGTATACTAATCCTTTGTGTTGCAAATACCGTACGTGTATTTTATTGTATGGAAGCTTTAAACTTTAATGTGGCCAAATTTACATTATGTGGATTGTATTTTCCTACCTTATTGTTTAAGATATCCTTTCCTAGCCCAAGATCAGATTTTTTCCCCTGTATTTTCTTCCATATGATTTCAAATTTTGTTTTTTAAAATTCTGGGCTCTTATCTACCTGTATTTATTTCTATTTGTCAGATATCAGGAAACTACAGCCCACGGGCCAAATTAAGTTTTTATAAATAAAGTTTTAGTTTAACACAGTCATGTCCATTTGTTAACATACTATCTACGGCTACAAGGACACCATCTTGTCTTTTACAGAAAGTTAGCTGACCCCTGATGTATATGATAGGAGATAGAAAAACCCGAATTGTTTTTTTTGCCAGAGGGATAGCAAACATCATTCACTGATTAGTCCAACCCTTCCCAACTGAACAGGAACTCTTTATATACCAAGTTCCCATATATACATAGGTCTGTTTCTGGGCATTTAATTCTACTGTCTTAATTACCTAACCATATAATCAGCCTTTGGCAGGGCCAAGTCCTCTACCTTACTCTCTCTTGAAACTATCTGCCCTATTAATTATAGGATCAACTTGTCCCGATCCTAAAACCCTGATGGGAATTTTTAAAGTAGCACTAACTGAATGATTAATTTGGGGGAGAGTTCACATCTTTCTGGTACTGAGTCTTTCTATCTATGAACATAGTATACCTCTCCATTTATTTGTGTGTCCTTTCATGTCAAACTAGGTTTTGTAAACTCCATAAAGATTTTAGTCTTTTGTTTTTACTAGCATACAGCGGTACAACTGAGTTTTAAATACTTTCATATAAATGCATTTATTTTAAAAACCCAGTTGAACTCTTAGGAGTTCTAATAGTATGTGTGTAGATTTCCTTCAGTTTTTTATATATGCAATCATGTTATCTGGTACTAATGATTCCTTTGTTCCCCTTCCCTCCCAAAACTTAAATTTCCCTTCTTTTTTGTTTTGCGTGTGTGCTATTGTGAAGACTATATTAGCTTTCTTTTTGTCTAATATCCCTGATGTTTTCCCATCCTTTTGCTTTTAACCTTCTCATGATCCTTTTTATACTAAACAGTATACAGGAGGAATCTAGTCTTTTCACTGAGACAGCCCATTTCTGTTTATTGTGATTACTGCTCTTGATTTCTAAAGATCATTCTTAAAACTTTAACTATGACTATGAATTTGTTGATTTCTCCTGGTAATTCTGTACATTTTGCTTTGTGTATTTTGAGACTGATATTGGTGCAAAGCAGTTCAGAGTTTTATCTTCCTACTACCCTGTTCATCTTTTCATAATGTAGTGACCTTTTTAGCCCTGATAATGTTTTGTGCTTTAAAGTATGTCATCTGCCACACAGCTTTCTTCTGGTTAACATTTGTCTGCTATATTCTTCCATCCAGTTATTTTCAATTTCTCTATGTCCTTATGTTTTAGTTGTGTTCCCAGTAGTTTATGGCTGGATCTTATCCAGCCTGACTTTTTGTTTTTTAGCTATACAATCTTCTGCTAGAATTTAGTCTGTTTACATTTATTGTGACTACTGATCTATTTAGGTTTATTTCAGCCACCTTATTTTGTTCTGCTGACTACACTTTTTCTTGTTTCTCTTTTTATTATGAAACATCTGAAACAAAGACAATACTAGAACATAATTTGAGTAACACTCAGGCTTATCAAATCTTAACATTATGCTATATTTTCTTCTGAAAATTTTTCAAAAGAAATAAGACATGCATGTGCAACTTAAGTCTCTCCCTGATCCCATTCCTCCTTCTACCTAGAGAAATAATTTCATAAATTGATTATCTCCATATTTTTATTCTTTAATATATTTCTGTATCTATAAACAACACATAGTACTGATTGAAGGTTTTTAAACTTTATACAAGTGGTCCTACCAATTGCCATTCCCAAGAGCAGCATACCCTAACTAAATCTTGGTACAGTCAGGCTTTAATCCCATCCCTCAGGACTTAACACCTCTCTCTTCTGTACCATTTTCTCCCTCTCTACCAGATCATTCCTATCAGCATCCAAACATGTTCTAGCATCTTTTATCTTAAAAAAAAAAAAAAAAAAAAATCCCTTAACCCAAGAGCACCTTTCAGTTCCTTTT